GGTGGATTATGTCTCTGACCACCAGACATGAAGTTCCCAGAGATATGGATCTGGTGGTAGAGAACCTGCCTAGCAACCACAAGGCTCTGATCTCAAAACCCTGTGATGAAAAATTTAGGGAAGCCAATCAAAGGACCCATCCCTCAGTAACTGTTGGGGAAACTGTGGCCTCTGGGGTACTCAGGGGTACAACTGCTCGGCTGCCTCATTAGAAGAGGAAAGGCAGTTGTGGCAATAAGGGAGGAGAGGGAAGACCGGGTTCAACTGGAGATACTGGCAAGCTGAGCTTTCCCTGCCAGGGTGGGCCAGGGCTTACTCACACCTCTCCAACTGGCTGTCTTGAAGGAGTCTGCACAGCACAACCAGAAATGGCCTGGCAGGGGCCTTCCTAGGCTGGTTACGATTGAATCCTGCACATGACTGACCGGGCTTAAGAAATGTGGGCTAGTGTGACTGGCTCTCATCTCCAAGGGACAGAAAAGCAAGTGCATGCATTTCCCTCACCAAGAGAAGCATGTCCCCTCCTCACACACATGGAGGAAAGGACCGATGAGCACTCAGGAGGAAGTGTCCCAAGAAACATGTTCTTGGACCTTTCCCTTCAGAGGGACAAAGGGCCTTGTCACCTCAGCTCCTCCCAGGCAGACTGGGGAAGCCAGCCGGGTGCCAGCTGCCCTCCTGCCTAGAATCCCATGTGCAGAGTCTGGAGCAGATTGTATACCTACCTGCTAAGCAGGGAGGGGACCTTTCGACAGGCATGCCTGGCACAAAGTCTTGTGTGTTTCATGCCTGGCTCCATCCTGCTGTGGGGGCGGGGGGGCGGTTAACCAACACCGGGACTCTGGAGCCCTGCAGCCCCAGGGCCTCTCAGTCACTGCCAAAGCAACAAGGAGACAAGGGAAACGCTCTCTTAATGGCGCTGAGGTAAATACACCGGACAGTCTTGACTACGGTCGTCCTGCACTGTGAAGTTCTCCAAGCAGATTCCACCTGTCCCAAACTCTATTCCCACCTCCTCATCCCCCTTCTTCTGACTCTAGATCACCTTCCTCTCTTCCTGTGCCATCCTCCAACCTCAATCCTCTGCTAACTCTCACTCTGTCTACTCCTACTTCCGTATTGGAGATGGCCCATTAGTGGCTACCGCACACAATTGGCCTTGGTAGGCTGAATGTTATGTGTGGGGACAAGCAGTGGTGGTCCAGGGCCTCCCATTTTCCAGTGAGGGGAGCTTCGTGCCTGAGGAATCCCACACAGTCGGAGTACACACAGAAGACTGTTCTCTCTGGTTAATGATCTCCTGGCACTCCTCAGTCCTTCCCCACTCCTGCCTTAAGTTTGCACTTAGTTAAGAGGAACTACTTCTGAAAAGACTCTAGCCCTGTGGGCCCCAGCCTTCTTAGCCACTTGGTTGGTGAAGGCTGCAGCCCGCAGGGTGCCCTCCATGCTGAGGGTCATGTGCACTCCTCAAGCAGGGCAGGGGTCCTCTTACACTTGCTGACTGCGGTCTTTCTCACCCAGACAAAAAAAAAAAAAAAGGAGTACCTTGAGGTATTGTCCTGTCCATTCCAGTGGGGGTGGGGACAATGCAGCAACAGCTCTGGCTGTCCTTGTCCTGTAGGGGTCCTGCTGGCTCAATCCAGGAGGTCCAGCCTACTGCTGTCTGGCTTCCTCAGGATCCAGGCTCTCTGCCTCTGGCTTAGAGATAGTTTCTCTGAGATGCTGCTAGAGCCATACTCCCAGCACCACCACTTGTGGCGGCAGCTGCCCCAGAAGGCTCTATGTTCCAGGTGGTCCAGGTCAGACTATGGGTTCCAGCTGAGGGCTGACTGGGGGTTTCATTATCTCCCTGCGTTTGGCCCTTTTACTCACAGACTCTGGGCCTTCCGCAGATTCCCTGCAACTACTGCAACGCAATTTCTTGCCCTTTCCTCGGCCCGCGCTGCAGCTACTGCCTCAGAATCAGGTGCTCAAGGAAGCTCTGCAGTTGTCATGGAGCTTGCCAGCTGGAAGAGACAAATATGAACTTAGGTGAGATGGGAGAAAATAACTGCATGATTAGGTGGTTGTAGAGGAAGGAGAGGAAGGCAAGAAGGCTGGAGTGAGCATAGTGATCATGGAGCCCTGCCTGCATCTGAGCCTCCAACCCTGTGCCTGCCCACCTGAGCTGCAGGTGCTTTGCACACAGTCCACATATGAGCCACTTCAGAGTCCAGAGGACCCTTTCCTGGAAATGCTTGGAAGTGCCAGTGTTGATGCAGAGAATGGCATGAGTTTCATTCAGTTGCCCACAGATGCCCTGTTGCCATAAGGAAGGCCACTGTGAGGTATGATGCCAACAGAGCAATGGAGGCAAGTTCCTTTGCACAGTGCCCAGCTTCCCTGCCTGCCCCCCCTGTGGAGCCTCCTCACTCCCAAGTCAAAGGAATGTGTGTTGTAGCTGTAGTAATAGAGCACCTACCTAGCAGGTTGGAGTCCTGGGGTCAAACTGCAGGACTCTCAGCCAAGAAGAAAAGAAAGCCACCCTATTGTGATGCTGAATTCCTGGATAGAGGTCAAAGGACCCAGATTAAGACCCCTGGTGCCTTAGACTGTCCTCAGTTCAACCACAAGCTACAAGCTTGTTCGGTCATATATCTGACTACCCACATGAGGATCTAGAGACACGGATTCAGTGGTAGAGCACCGGCCTAAGAACCACAAGGCTCTGAGTTCAACTCTGGTATTGAAAAAATTAAAAGGGCCAACTCTAGGGCCTGTGGCTTTTGGGGTGGTAAGGGAGCTGCTCCTCTACTTCATTTGGAAGAAAGCAGGGGAGGAGAAAGGAGACAGGGCTCTCTTGGGGACATAGCCCAGTTCTATTTTCCCAGCTCTACCTAGCATTGGGCCCAGGGCTCATCCACCCACACCTCTCCAACTGGATGAGTCTGTACAACACAACCAGAAATGACCTGGCAGAGGCCTTGCTGGGCTGATTCGGGTTGAATCCTGGACATGGCTGACCTTACTTAAGAAATGAGGTCTAACATGAAGCAACTTCTCTAGCCATAAAAGAAATGCAAATCAAGACAACATTGAGATTCCACCTCACCCTCATTAGAATGCCTCACCCCAGTTAGAATGGCTATAATCAAGAAATCTAGTAACAACAGATACTGGAGGGGAGGGAATGTGGCCAAAAGGGAATCCTACTGCATTGTTGGTGGGAGTAAACTTGTTCAGTATGGAGGTTCCTCAATCCCACTTTTGGGCATTCACCCAAACAATCACCAACAAGGTCATACCAAAGTTACTAGCACAACCATGTTTATCGCAGCATTATTCACCATAGCTAAGATATGGAACCAACCCAGATGCCCCTCAGTAGATGAATGGATCAAGAAAATGTGGTATGTACAATGGAAATCTGTGCCTCCATCAGAATGAATGACATTGCCCCATTTGTTAGGAAATGGAAAGATTTGGAAAAAATTATATTAAGTGAAGTAAGCCAGGCCCAAAGAAACATAGGTCCCATAATTTCCCATGTTTACATATCTAGGACAAGCAGAGAAGGTCAAAGGCTATGTACATATGACTACATGAGATAATGTTAAGCAAAATGTACCCCAAGACAGGGACATAAGTAGTTTTTCTCTTTCTTGCTATTGTTTTTAATGAACTTGTAATGTGCTATGTGATTCCTTTGTTTCTTTTGTATGTTCTTTCCCCACGGTATAACCCCTGTTTTCACTGTATTTGATTCCAGTGCTCTGCATCTTGTATATACATTTTTGTAATTTGGGGAGGGGAAAGGGGATAATAACAGAATATCTAAATGGGGATGCAGGTTGACCCATTGTGACAACGAGATGTACAGGACTCTATGTTGAATACGAACTTTACAATGGGGGGAGGGAGGAGTTGGGGAGGTGAGGAGGGAAGTGATGGTAGGGGAAAAACAAAGGAGGAGATAACAATGCTCGATAGGAAATGTACTCATTACCCTATTCGTGTAACTGTAACCCCTCTGTACAATATTTTTACAATAAAAAATATTAAAAAATAAAAAGGGAAGAAAAAAGAAATCAAGTACTAATGTCATATGTCGATTCCATAGATTATGAGATATATTGATCAAATTAATAAAACTTGTTTTAAGTAGATTTTTAAAAAATGAGGTCTAACGTGACTGGTCCTCATGTCCAAGGGGCAGAAAGGCAAGAGGATGATCCTCACAAACATGGAAGAAAGGACATATGATAGCTCAGGTATGGGAGTGTTTCAGGAGTCACTGCTTGGCAGAGGGCCTTGTCAGCTCAGCTCTACCCAGGAAGACTAGAGAGGTCAAGCAGGGTGTTAGATGCCTCCTGCCAGGAATTCCAACTACAGAGTCTGGTACCAATTGCACACCTACCTACCTGCTGGACAGGGAGGAGACATTCTGGTGCAAGCATGCCTGGCACACACTTCTGTGCGCTTCATGCCTAGCTTCTTCCTGGTGGGGTTGGAGTCCATAGCTCAGGCCGATCCCCCACACTCGGCCTCAGGAGCCCTGTCGACCCAGGGCCTTCAGTCACTGTTAAAGCACAAAGAGACAAGGGAAACGCTCTCTTAACTCATGCTGAGGATAAATATAAGACAGTCCTGACTATGGTTGCCCTTCATTGTGGGCATCTGTTCTGTCAGATTCTTCCCATCTGAAACTCTGCTCCCTACCCCATTGCCTCGGCTCAGACCTGCTTTCTTTTGCCTCCAGTTCTCCTTCCCTTCCTTGCTCTCCTCCAGCCTCTGTGAACTCTGTCTACCAGCTTGCACTTCCCCCATTGGAAGATTGGGTGCAGGAGGATTGGTCTTTGGGTGGTGATACAGACATAATGGAGAGAGATTCAATCACCCCACCTCTAATTTGTGCCTTGTGCACACCATTAGTGATAAAAGCAATTTGTTGGTTGAATAGGACCCCCACAAAAAAGGTGTCAATCCCATAAAGTGCAGCACACACAGCTGACCTGCCTCACCTACCTAGTGTCGTCGCTGTCTGTTCTCTGCCCTGGAACTATTTTGTTCCGGGATTTCCTCCTCCGGGCAGACAGACAGGAACACAGTGACCTGAGGGCCCTCATGACTCTCTTTCGAAATGTTTTCCAGAGTCTGGGCCTGACCTCTGGAGGGCAGGTGGATGCACTCTCTCTGCCACTCCTAGCATCGGAGTTTTCCTGGTTGTCACTGTTGGAGGGAGTCCCAAGGGACAGGCTGGACAGGTCTCCAAAGTGGGATTGGCCGACATTGCCCTCAATGGAGGACCCAGGCTCTGGAGTATTTTCACAGGGTAGTCTGGAAACGGCCTGGCTGCCCATGTGGGAGAAGGGAATAGCGGGCAAGGAGACATGTTTCACGCTCAGGTTTTGTGAACTTTGGTCCTCCTCCTCCTGCTGGAATCTCAAAGGGGAGAGGGTGAAAGAATGAAGGTTGGAGACACTGCCCTTCCTCCTCCTAGCCACAGTGATGGGAGGTTTTGAGGGGGCTAGGCAAGGCACTTTGCCTGAAGACCTTGGTTTGCCATCACTGCTGGAGCCCAAGCCCCGAGGCATCTGATGATACAGAATAAGGTACGTGGCCATGGTATCATCAAACTTCCTCTTTCTCAGAGAGTCCTGGATTTCCCGGGCTTTGTAGCCCATGGTAGTCATTGTGGCCACGATCTCTGAGTATGAGCATTTGGGGAGAGTGGTCTTTACATCCCTGCCATTGCCATTGTGTGAGTGGTTCAGCCAAGGATGCTGGATGACATAATCTAGGGTAGCCCTCTTCTGCCACTCCAGCATCAGCAGTTGATTTAGCAGGTCTTGGGCTTCTTCCGTGATGTTGCTCGGAAGCAGAAGCCATATGTACTGCTGGGAATTGTTAAAGATGTGGAAGGGGATTATGCCCACAAGCATGTTGTATAAGATTATTCCTAAGCTCCACATGTCAACAGCGGTGCCATCATAGCCGTCATTGTAGAACATCTCTGGGGCAGTGAAGGGCACTGTGCCACAAAAATTAGTGAACTTCTGCCCTGGCTTAAACTGAGTGCTGAGCCCAAAGTCACAGACTTTCAGGGTTTCTCTGCCGTCGACTAAGATATTACGAGGCTTGAGGTCTCTGTGGCTTATGTTCCGTGCATGTAGGTATTGCACAGCACAAGTTATTTCATAAAAAAATTGTTGGGCCTTCCCTTCCTTTAAGTAACTTTTAGCCTTGATGTAATCTCTCAAGTTGCCGTTTATTGCATGCTCTAGGATGAAATAGATGTTTCTAGAGTCTTCTAAGATGTGGTACAGCCGTATGATGTTCTGATGGCACAACCTTTTCATAATATTGGCTTCAGAAGAATCATAGGATAAGTGTGGGTCATTTTTGGCAACTATTTTGACGGCAACCTGGGTTTGTGTTAGTTTATGCCAACCAAGTTTCACGCTGGAAAAGCCTCCTTTTCCGATGGTTTTTAAAACCCAGTAATGGTCATTGAGATGTTCCTTGTGATAGTTGATTCTCTCAAGGTGTCTCATGGTCCCCTGTCTTGCTTGTATGCTCAGCAGCGGCTCAAGCTATAACAGGTCAATAACAATTAAAAGTGACTTTATAGTTATGCAAGTTTACATTTTAAACTAGAACTAGAACTAGGAGATTATGTTTCCAGTTGCGGGGGGGGGAGGGGGGGAGGTCACTTGCTTAACAGGCTCGAAGCCTTCAGTGAAATGCCAGTACCGTGAAAAAAAATTGCTAAATGAAATAGGGGTAGATCCATGGATCATTTCTGGAGAGCCTGTGTAGCAAGCACAGACCCCAAGTACAGCAAAGACATCTCAAATCGTCTTAGAAATAAGGACAACACAAACCCCAAAGCATATAGGAACAAAAAGAGCAACAAAAAGTTCATGCAAAACCTGGGCACTAGTGGCTCCCACCTGCAGTCCTAGCTACAAAGAAGACCATGATCAGAGGACAGTGGTTGGAAGCCAACCCAGGCACAAAGTCCATGAGATTTTTTTATTATCTCCAATTAACCACCAAGAAGCCAGAAGTTGAGCTGTGTGGCTCAAGTGGTAGAGTGCTAACCTGGAGCACAGACGCTCAGATACAGCAGACACAAGTTGAATTTAAGACCCAAGATTGGCAAAAAAGACAAACTAGAAACTAGGAGAACACAAAGATCAGTGAAAGCAAGGGTAAACAAAATTCACCTTTCTATATAGCCAACCAGAAACAGGAGCTAAGACCTAAGTAATAAAATGGCAGCTGATGATAAAATGACAACAGTCTTCATCTCAAAATCATTACTAGGGTATAGTTTGAAAAGGAAAAATCTAGAAGGAAAAGTGAAATGTTGAGGCACATGTAATTTATCAATATTGAAGCTGGAAAACATATGAAAAATCTCTCAGACTGAAATTGGATGGATTTACTCCCAAACTTGTTGACGCCCAAACTTGTATGGGGAATTTATTTTTTGGGGGGTGGGGGGCGTCCGGTAGTGGGGCCTGAACTCTGGGCCTGGGCGCTGTCCCTCAGCTCTTCAGCTCAAGGCTAGCGCCCTACCACTTGAGCCATAGCACCACTTCCAGCTGAGGAATCGAACCCAGGGCCTCATGCATGCAAGGCAAGCGCTCTACCACTGAGCCACCTTCCCAGCCCTTGTATGGGGAATTTAAGAAAGGACTATGAAGAAAATGACACTTAAATTCTCTTTTTTAAAAAAGGAAGAACATATGTGGAAAACTAAAATAGGAAGGGCTGTGGGCAGGGCTGTATTGATAAAACTCCTGCAGAGCAACTCTTAAGGCTTAGGATATACTGGAGACAGGGATGTGCCTATAACTCAGAACTGCACAAGGGAGAGGATCATGTGTCATCCAGCCAGAGAATAAATCTGAGCTCAAGGCTGACTAATCCAAGCAATGGCAGGGGCTATTGCCCTAAGGATAAAAGGGGGCCAGCCAACCTGCTCAGTGTACCTGTGCTTGTAAGATTTTGCCAGATTGCATACCTTTCTCCAGAAGTATATTTGCTTTGAGAGCAATGTACACATTGGAAACAATGTGTACATAGGTCAAAATAAGGAAATAACTGTATGGGAATGCCATAATTGACACCTTACTTGTACAATGCATCAATGTGAATTATAACACATAAAATGAGACAAGAAAACACATAGCCAAAAGTATAAAAAATGACCCAAACCCCAAGGTACAAACCATTAAAAAAAAAAACCCAGCATCCTGAACCAAGTAATGTGCCAATGTCTGGTATCAATAAGTCACAAATGAAGAAGGTTGCTCTCAATAAGGGTAGTTCAAAAGTTTTGATGGCAGGCACCTCTCCACCCAGCTTAGGAAAAAGCAAAAATAGATGAGTCCAGGTCTGTCATGACAACAAAAGAAAAGATGTACCTGGAAAACAACCTAAACAGAAAGGGCTGTGGGTAGAGCTGGACTGGTAGGGTTTCTGCAGAACAACTCTAAGGCCCTGAGTGTGTACCGGGTACAGGAGTGTGAGCCTGTCCTCACTGGTAATGTAGGACACTACACGGATCCCACCAATCCCATCAGAGAATAAATCTGAGGTCGAGGCTGCCCAGTGGCAATGGGGCAGAACGTGCTATGTTAGATTAAAGGGGACCACAGCCAGCTTGCTGCTTGTGTCTGGTTGCCAGATTTTGGCAGATCGCACACGTTACTATAAAAGTTAACTTTGCCTTAAGAGTCAAGAAAATTTAAAGAAAGGACACAAGGTGTAAAAAGGGTGAAGAAGGTTAAAAAAATAGCTGTATGAAAAATGTCATGGCACCATCAATTCCTCATTTCCACAAGAAATCAATGTGGATTATAACACCTGAAGTAAGACAAAATGCATAGCCAAAAATAAATACTAAAGACTCTCCCAAATAGAAACCTCAATACTCAAACCCTCACAAGAGAGAGCATCTTACTAAGTAAAATAGAAACATCCAATGTCAGGGTAAGTCATAAATGAAGTTATAGATTGCTCTCAATAAGTTCACAAAGTTTCTGCCAAAATCAGCCCCCCACCCCCGCCTTAGCCTTAATTACCTGGTGATTACAAATCCATCACAGTGGTTCCTTGTAAAATCATATTTTGGGCATAACCAAAGAGGGATCTTCTCATTTTCAGTCCTCATACCCAATTGATAAAAAGAATAAGACTAAACTACAGAAGTTCTATGTTTCTTTGGATTGTGAAAAGTTATATTTATTTCTTTAGGAATGATAAAGTGTATAGGGCATACACTGTCATTTTCACTTGAAATCAAAATATACAAAGTGACTTGTGGCTTAAATTCCTTTTTCTTCAAACTTGAATCAACTGGAGTAAAAAAGGGAATGTGCAGATAGATAGATAGATACATAGATACATAGAGATACAGATATAGATGTATGTACATAGCTAGGCTTGGTGGTTTGCAACTATAATCCCAGCTATTCAGAAGTCAGATAATAGGATACCAGTTTAACAGGTAGGGTAAAGTATCAGATAGGCTCCAACATAATGAAAAGATGTGTTTGATGGCAGGTACATCTTTACCCAGTTGGGTAAATTGGGGTTGAAGTCTGTCAAGACATACCTGGTAAACAACTGAAGTAGGAAAAGCTGTCTGCAGAGCTATAGTGATAGAACTTCTGTAGACCAACACTGAGGCCTTGACAATGCACTGGGTGCAGGGGTGCAAGTCTGTCCTCACTGGTAACCCAGGACAGCATGAGGAGGAGAATTGTAGGTCAACTTAGCCAGGGTATAGATAGATCTGAGTTTGAGACACTGATCCAGACAAATTGGCAGGACCAGCTGCATTATGGATGTAAGGGGAGCAGCTGGCCTATTCCATGTGTTTGCTTTCCATATTTGGGCAGATGCTCCCCCTTCTACAGAAGTAAACTACATTTTGCAGGGTTTTGTTTGTTTTTTGTCCGTTGTGGGGCTTGAACTCTAGGCCTGGGCACAGTCCATCAGCTCTTCAGCTCAAGGCAAGTGCTCTACCTCTTGAGCCACAGCACCACTTCTGGTTTTCTGGTGGTTAATTGGAGATGATAGTCTCATGGACTTTCTTGCCTGGGCTGGCTTTGAACTACAATTCTCAGATCTCAGCCTGAGTAGCTAGGATTACAGGTGTGAGCCACTGGCACCTGGCTGCAGTTTTTTGTTTTTGTTTTTAAAGACTGAGTGATGATTGTCAATGTAGAGAAGTACTTTATGGAAATGTTATTAATTTCTTATTTTGCACAATGAATAAATGTGAATTATAACATAAGACAAGAAAATGCGTGGCCAAAAATAAATAGAAATGACCCCCCCAAACATAAACCCCAATACTCAAACCCTCAAATAGAAAAGCATCTTACCAGGTAATATGATCACAAATGAAGAGACAGGTTGCTCTAGGTTCAGGGTATTTCACAAATACCCTGCCAATAAAGGACAAGAATCAGCCCCAGATTTATTCTTAAGCATCTGGTGATTACAAATCAATCACAATGGTTCCTTGTGAGGTCACATTTTGACTGTACCAATCATGGATGTGCATAACCAGCCAGAAATGTTCTCACTTTTACTCCTCACAGATTTAATCGAATTAATACAAAGGATAAGGCCAAACTGCAGATATTCTGTGTTTATATGGATTGTAAAAACTGATGTTTACTTTTTTAAGAATGATAAAATATAACGTATATCACTGCCATTTTCACTTGAAGTCAAAATACCCATAATTACCTATGATGTGTTATAAGCCAGCCACGGTGGTTCATGTCTAGCTGAGATCTGATGACTGCAGTTCAAAGCCAGCTTGGGTAGGAAAGTCAAGACTCCACTAAACTAATCAGAAAAAGCTGAAGTGGTGCTGTGGCTCAGGACAGCATCTAGACCCAGGACCAGGCCCACCCCCCAGAAAAAGAATTATCTTTGTATCTACTATGGGGAAAATCAAGCATGAATAGATTGAAGTAAAAACTGGTAACATTTTACTGACATGGTTCTAAAGAAATGCTGTCCTGATACAGCATAGGATACATAAACATTTACAAAGTTCAAGAGACAAAGAAACACAGAGAGGGAAGGAAATAGATTAGAAATTATTAGAAGATCCCCATAAAATCATAAAAGGCTATTATTTCTACCTAGAATCTCTGGGCACGAGAGTGAAGTATATATTTCTAGTGAAGTATATATTACTGGGTAATTTAGGAAGGAGAGTTGGTTTTTTACACTTCAGGGCATTGGCAAGCCTAATCAATGCACCTGACCATTCACTAGGCTACTATGTGTGTGTGTGTGTCTCTCTTTCATACCTGGAGTCTTTTTGGTGATTCCTCACATGGGGTAAAGAAGACAAGGTTTGACCACAGTCAAACCAGCTCCTCTGGAAAAGCACATGTTTCATTGGCAGGAGCAAAGTATTATGGTCTTCCCAACGGCCCCACCTCAAAATACTGGTGGCCTTGGAAGTCTGCTGAAAGAAGCAAACTTACAAAGTGTGTCACCCTACAAATAAGAG